TGTACTGTACAAAAATGATGATTTCAGTACCCAAATAAACTCTGAATTATGTAAGCCACAAAGACTAAAGCTCTATTTGTCATTTAGATTCTTGTAACAGCTGTGAAGAAATGATAAGGAAACTAAGGCCTCTAGAGCAACGTCTTTCAAGGTCACCCAAAGGAGTTGGAATGAGGAGCCATTATTCTCTGATACTTGATTCCTCCTCGGTAGAGACATTTTGAGTAAAGAGTTAATCAAGCTTTGCTGACATTGAACTTGCTTATATAATTAAGGGGAAAGACCACAACCATGTGTTAGTTGAAAAGGAGAAAGGTCTGTGGCAATGGAGGAGAAGAGGGAGGGAAATCTATGCCTTTTCCCAGGTGTTCTATGTTGATATTGACTAGACCATCAATCTTCTTGACAAAGATGGACAGCCTGTGTTTTCTATTTCCCCAAAGCTCAACCCTAACCACATCTAGACTATCATGCTAGGAAAGGAATTAAAATAGGCTTATTACTCTCAACACACACACATACCACATTTTCATATCTTTTTATTAATTCCTAATAAAAAATAGGAAGGGAGGAGAAAGAATAAAGGACAAATAAAAATGTGACCTAGAAAGAATCCTTGCCATCTAGTACAGTCCAGTGATATTTACATACATGAGGATGTCTAGGATATGGAGGGAAAGGAGGGGAAGAAAGATATAAAACTAGGGTCAATTCAAAGGGCTGCTGAGCAAAGGTAACAGTCATCCCTCAAAATAAGGTGTGTATATATAGATATATAGATATTGTACATAAGAAATTAAAAAAGATATGGATTCAGAAAAACCTATATAAGCTGAAGAAGAACAGAACCAGCAGAACAGAACAATGCATTCAATGACTACAACATTATAAATGATTGTTTAAAAATATCTCCAAAAGACTTGAGAGCTCTGGTCACTATAATGACCCATCAAGTCTCCAGAAGAAAAATGATTAAGCATGTGACCCCCATCTTGACAGGGAGGGTGAGGAACTTGAGCTACTAAATATAATTGGGTATGATCAAGGTATGGATTTGTTTTGCTTTACTATGCATATTTGGTTGGCTTAGATCATTAAAATATTGATAACCATTCACCTACAGGCAGAATGAATAGATATAAATATATCTAACAATTGTCTAACATATATCTAATATATCAAATATAAACTTGGTCAATTTGACCCCAAGTGAAACTTCCCAAGTTTGCTATTGGGATTTTTTTTTAATGAGGGGAAGAGATTTGGTGGGAAGAGGGAAACTAGTGATACTGAAGCCCAAAAATGAAAAAAAAAGAAGAAGAAGAAGAAGAATAGAGGTCTTCTTTTCCATGCACAGGAAAAAACAGAAGGAAGTTCCAAAGGAGACATACAAAAAAGATAGCTTTAAAACTAGTAAGTTTAATTTATTATATTTTTAAAAGAAAATAAGATGTATTTATTAGAGATTTGTAATTCTGTATATAATCCTCTTTTTCTGTTCTTTGTATATGGAAATATTTCTATTTATGGGTATTTGTCAAGTTCAAAATAATAAAAATGATTTTTTAAAAAAAAGAGTTGGGTGTGCACACCAGCAATGATCCTATCATGAGTAGAGAAATCTGCTTTTCTTGTCTGGGCCTCTCTGTCCTTTTCCCAGTTCTAACAACCTTTAAATCTACCTCAGTGTGATTTTAGATTTCTTTAAGATGGAAAGCTATCTGTGTCAACCAGCTGAGCACTGTCTTGAAGATGAAAAGCAGAGCAATTGTAATTCTGTTGGCAAAACTATTTCTTCAGCTCAAAGTGGTAAAATATGCATTCTAGTGACCTCCATATGTATAGCAAACATAAATATTTCTCAGAGATTAATGGCGTGGGAGAAGCCTTGTTTTCTGTCTAAATGATTTAGAAACCCATGAAAGAAAGTTGTTGGGGGAGGTTTTGGCAACAATTTCAAGCCCAAAACACAGAAACACAAAAAGGCAGTCAGAAAATATTTGAAAAATTCAAAAGTAACATCTTGTGTTAATTCTTAAAGGGCTTAGAGAGAATTAGTCAGACGATAAGCGTTTATTAAGCATTTACTGTGTGCCAGGTTCTGTGCTAAGTCATGGGAATACATTTAAAGGCATGTGTGGGCCTGCACATATACACATGCTCACACACAGAGTCCCTGCCCTCAAGGAGCTCGTAGTCTAATGGGAGCAATAATATGTAAATAACTAGGTACATAGAGAATATAGACAGAGTATAAAAAGATCATTTGAAAGTAGGAGGCACTATCATCTAGCAGGATTGGGGAAGTACCGAAGAAGGTCATTTTTGAGCTGAATCCTAAGGAAAACACGGAACTTGAGATGTGTAGGCAAGGAGAGCAGAACATTCCAGGTATGAGGGAAAGCCAGTGTGAAGGCAGGAAGTGGGGAGATGGAGTGTTGTGCACAAGTAGGCCAGTGTAGTTGCATCATTGAGTTCTGGAAAATGAGCAAAGTGTTAAGAAGGGCAAAAAAGAACCCGGTCTTCATTTCCTAGCTTGTCATTGTTTATTTGTTTCGGTCATGTCTGACTCTTTGTGACCCCATCTGGGGTTTTCTTGGCAAAGATACCAGAGTGGTTTGCCTTTTCCTTCTCCAGTCTTTTGACAGATGAGGAAACTGAGACAAACAAGGACTTGCCCAGGGTGACACAGCTAGTAAGTATCTGAGGCTGGATTTTAAATTCAGGAAGATGAGTCCTTCTCACTCCAGCTCCAGTACTCGGTCCACTGCACCACTTAACCGCCCTCTCATCCTCGGGGCCAATGGCAAAAGAGCAGTTGGGCTCTGAGGCCCTGGATCTAGCAGCAAGTGATTTTATTCTGGTGCCACCACAGAAAAGAAAACGTTTGCTTATGGACTGGGATTCTTCTTTACTTGCTTGTTCATAGACTCATGTGCTTTAAATGAAAAGAAACACAATTATTGTCCAATAGTCCATATTTATAAGGATATTCCCTTAGAAATAACTAAATGACCACTAAGTATGGATTAAATGTCCATACTTTCTAAATTATGTCATTTGCCTATTCGAGGGTTTAGTAAATAATTAGGATATCTTCCTAATATAAAAGAGTTTCTAGGGACCATCTTGCTGTTTGTCACACAAGGCATTCCACCTCCATGCCTTTGTAAAAGCTAACCACTGCCTAGAAAGCACTCACACTTCACAACCATTTCTTATATTTTTTAGTTTCCTGCAGAACTCAACTCAAATGATACCTCTTACATGAGGTCTTTCCTTGTCTCCACTGGCTGTTAATGACTTGGTCTAACAAATAACCCTGTATTTATTTTGTATGTGCTTGATATGGATTGAATTGCATTGTGTCAAAATAGAGATCTAGCCTTGGAGTGAGGAAAAACTGGGTTCAAGTCCTACCACACTGTCTGTGTGACCTTGGGTAAGTCACTTGCCCTCTCAATGTTTTAGGCAACTCTCTAATGCCATAAGTTGTATAAAAAGCACTAATGTGCATAGCAGAGGGTGATTCTTCATCTGAAATTTCCCTTTATCAATGAGATCAATAAAGATCTAGTCCCTATATCTTGTATAAACTTTTATGTGGACATGTCTCCCTCTATAGAATACAATATCTGCCTTGAAAGAGTAGATTGTTTGATTTATATGTTTAAGTCCTCAGACCCTAGTATAGTACCTGGCACAGAGTAAGCATTCAGTGAATGCTTATAGGGACAGAGGAAGAAGAAACAGGGAACCTATTATTTTTTATTATTATTATTATTATCTTATGCACAGAGATAAGTGTATAGTTTTTTTAATGTAACAAAAAAAGTTTTATTTACTATGTCTCAAGAAACCATCCCAGAACCACAGGATTATGTCCCTCAGAAAGGAGGAAGGGAAAGGCAAAGAGATTATCAATAGAGGCAATTTTATCCTCATCAGCTCATATAGATTTGCCTTGGTGTCAGTGAATGCATTTTACCATTGTTACCACACTTGAAAGGAAGGGGAAGGTTATCATACCTAAAAGACTGTAAGTTGCAGGAACAGAATGTTTTATTTAAGGGGAAGGTTTTATAAATAAACAGTGCATGGAACCTCTGGATCAAGATAAAAAGAAGTTCCATCCACTTGGCTAGAGATCACAGAAACTGGTGAGAGAGGGCTGAGATAGAGGAAGGCCAGAAAAGGGAACAAAGGATGCAGGGTATGTGATAAGCAGAGAGGTTACATTCAACACTCAAGAGCCAAGGGGATGCCTGCTTTCACCAACAGGATCAATAAGATGTTCGAGCTGGAAGAGCCTTAAAAGATCATCTATCCTAATTCTACCCCTTCATAGATGAGAAAACTATCCCCCACCCCGAGAAATGTATATGTATATTTTGTGTGTCTATATATGTGTATACACATTGTTGTTCAGTCACTTTAGTGTGTCTGACACTTTATGACCCCATTCTTGGCAAAGATGCTAGAATGATTTACCATTTCTTTCTCCAGCTCATTTTACAGATGAAGAACTGAGGCAAATAGGGTTAAGTAACTTGCCGAGGGTCACGCAGCTAGTAAGTATCTGGCTTAGATTTGAACTAAAGTGTTCCTGATTCTAGGCCTGGCATTCTATTCATATACATACATACACACGTACACACATGGGTGTATGTGTATATATGCCCACCTACACACATATTTGTATATGTGTATATAAAATATTGTATAATAAGCAATAAATTATATCATATACATAATATGATTATATAACATATAATCAAATAATAATTCTGCATGATCATATACTAATAATTCACATTTCTGTAATACTTTAGGGTTTTCAGAGTGTTTTATTCACAACTCTGTGGGGTAATGGTACAGGTGAAAACAGAAGATTCAGAGCTGGAAAGGACATTCTAGATCATAAAATCACATCATAATCAGATTTAGAACTAGAATGAGCTTCAGACATTGTCTAGTTCAGGCTTCTTATTTTACAGATCATGAAAGTGAAAACCAAAGTGTTGGAGTGACTTTCTCCAGTTTATGTAGACAGTGAGGACGCAGACTCAGGATTCCAACCAAGATGTTTTAACACCAAATCAAGCTCTTTTCCTACATAACTCTAGCTCTTCAAACACGTATGTATATGTGGAAACAGATATGTACATATATGTGTGTATAATACACATGTGTGATATGTGTATATGTACATACATATACATATATGTATGTACATATATGTGTGTATAATACACATGTGTGATATGTGTATATGTACATACATATACATATATGTATTGTGTGTGTACATTTATATAACCTTCCTTCACCCGTGCAGGTCAGCAGCTTGTTGGGTCCTCAGAGAGTTAGTTGTCTGTGGTACAGATACATTAAGTGACTTATTCAGAATCATCTAGCCAGTATGTGTCAGACACAGGGTGTGAGCCCAGGTCTTTCTGATTCTAAGGCTGGCCCTCTCTCTATTACAGTATGCTACCCCTATCTTACAAAATAAGAAAGTGAAGCTCATTAATGACTTGGCTACAGTCACTGACCTAAAGGAAAGAACATTCAATTTGGAGTTAATCCTAAATCTTGCTCTATGATACCAAATATTTAGAACTGGGAATTGGATTCAGGTCATCTGTCTCCAGTCCCAAAGATTTTTCCACTACACACAGTTTCCTTTATGTATATATACACATGTGCAATAAATAATTGAAGAATGTTGGCATATTTTCAGATTTAGGTTCTCTGGAAGTTCAGTACAATGAAGGTAACTAGTAGGAGTAGCATGTTTTTCTTTTAGAATCTCAAAATCTCTTTCAGATAAAACACTGGAAATACGTTTTAGCACATTTGTCATGGCGGTTCCTATTATAGGTCAACATTAGTGGTGAGGATACATTATAACAAAATCTAATTCAAACATCAGAGGATCCAATATGTTATTACCTAGTTTCATACTCTTTTATATCCAATGTGTTTGTTGTTCAGTTGTTTCAATTGTATCAGCCTCTCGATGACCCCATTTGGCAGTTTTCTTGGCAAAGATACTGGAATGGTTTGCCATTTCCTTCTCCAGCTCATTTGACAGATGAGGAAACTGAGGCAAACAAGGTTAAGTGACTTGCTGAGGTTAACACAGCTATTAAGTGTTTGAACCTGGATTTGAATTCAAGAGGATGAGTCTTCCTGATTCCAAGCCTGACACTCTATCCACTGAGCCACCCAGTTGCCCATCCAGTATATTACTTTTCGTCTAAAATCTGTGCCACTGAGTTGCCGACATTTTCACTCTAATTAAATAAATTAAATACAACAGGAATACAGAGCCATATACAGGTTATATGAAAACTCAGTAATAGATTAAAGAAAATAATTGTGGAGGGGCAAAGTCTATCATCAGGGCCATTTCCACCACTACCACTCCCACTCTATTTTGACAGTACCTTTTCTTCCCCCAACCTCACACATAGGTATCCAAAATTTTCATGTAACCTCCTGATACCCAGACCCTGACTGCAGTACCCAATCTCATGTTCTAGACCTAATCTTTTTCCCCCAAACTCCTTAGCAAAACTGACCTGTCACATTTCCTCAAGGCCTTCCTAGGTATTAGCTGAATTATACTGGGATGTTTTTGCCATGCCTTTCTATACCCTACACCATCCCATTCTTTCTCAGACTGTTTTCCCTCCTCACCTTCACCATCTTACAATCCCTTTTTGTTGTTGTTTAGTTATTCTCAGTCATGTCCAACTATACATGACTCCATTTTGGGTTTTCTTGGCAAAGATACTGGAATGGTTTGCCATTTCCTTGTCCAGCTCATTTTACAGGTGAGGAAACTTGGACAAACAGAGTTAAGTGACTTGCCCAAGGTCACATAGCTAGTAAATGTCTGAGGCCAGATTTGAACTCCGGTCTTCCTATACACTGCACTACCTAGCTGCCCTAATCCCTAGCTCCCTTCCAAACTCAATTCAATTGCTGCCTCCTACTCAAGACGTTTTCTAATTCTTCAAGTTTCTAGTATTCTCCTTTCTCCCTCCTCCAAAATAAAACATTGTTTTTATTGTCATATATTTTGTATTTACTTCTATGTGTACATATTATTCCCCCTCCCTTACCCCATAGAATATATGCTTCTTGAGGTCAAGAACTTTTTTTTTTTAATTTGTATCTTCGGGGCCTAGCATAATATTTGGCACATAATGGACAATTAATAAAAGCCAATTGAATTGAGTTTAAATGAATTTGAGGTCAGTGATGATTAATTAATTTGTCATTCCTGGGGTACAGAAGAGAGGCTGTTGAATTTTAATGAGAGATTCCTGAAGATTCAATGTCTTAACACAAAGCAATGAATCTCTAAGGGTAGAAACTTTAGGTACTGTGTCAAGCGAGTAGACAAAACATTTGAGCAGGGGAATCTTTTAGGACTGAAATCATACTGTGGCCCACCACCATCTCTACTTAAGCAGAAGGCTCTCTTGGCAAGAAATAGAACATAAAACTTATGGTTTACTAGTTGGCTGCTTTGCCCCCTAGACAGTGCCGAATCAGACTACAAGCTCAGTTTTATAGACTCAGTAGGCCAGAAAAGTATGAGAGCTTTTTATTATCAAAAGAATGAGGTCTTTTATCATCACACAATTGTTCATATTTCCACTGACATTTTTAAATTCTTTATCACAGTATGGACAAGATAAACCAATCACTACGGATTTACTGTTTTCATACTAGGTCTTCATTAGTTGACATAGCTTTCAGAAAGGCCTAATGGAAAAGGTCTCAAGGTACAGTCATATGCTCTTACTGCAGGTGAGTCAATAAGCATTTATTATGAACTTGCTATGAATCTGTGCCAGGCACTGAGCTACAAATAAAGGGGAAAATCTATTCCCTGCTCTTAAGGAGTTCACATTTTAATGGAGGAGACAACATGCAAATAGCTATGTATACATACAAGGTATATATAGTGGCCAGCAATATGAAAGTGGGAGGTCTTGGTAGCTAGCAGGACTTGGAAAGCTCTTTTGCAAAAGGTAGGATTTAAGGGGTAGCTAGGTGGCACAGTGGATAGAGCACCAGCCCTGAAGTCAGGAGGACCTGAGTTCAAATCCGGCCTCAGACCAAACACTTGACACTTACTAGCTGTGTGACCCTGGGCAAGTCACTTAACCCCAATTGCCTGGGGAAAAAAAAAAAGGTCAGATTTAAGCTGAATCTTGAAAGAAGCCAGGGAAGCAGAAGTGAGAACATGGCCAGCGCTAAGGTATGGGATTGAGAATGGGAAAAGAAAGGGCAAGGGAATAAGCATTTATATATCACCTGCTACTACATGGCAAGTACTGTGCTGTAAGGTATATGCCCTTTATAAGTATCATTGTAACCCAGCTTTGAGCACGCTCAATTTGCTTAACATAGAGCCCACTGTGTCCCTGATCATGTGGGTGGTATAGCCTCCATTATTGGCTACCTGCATCTTCAAAAGTGGTGAGACAGACCTGGTCTATCTGTACTGTCCACCACAGATGGACACCATAAACTGAACCTGTGACCTCTTCCTCTTTTACTCCAGCTCTGAGAAATAAGCCTGGAGAGTTTGTTCTGCTTTGTATTATTTGCTCTTAGTTTCGGGTGCTGGAGGCGAACCTCACCAGACCAGGAGTCTGAGCCATGGTGACCTTGGAACCAGGGTTGCAGGTGGTCGGGTGCAGCTGCCAGCCAACCTGTCATGGAAGCCTTGAGAAACCAGGGTACCTGAGACTTGAGACCCAACCGTGACTGTGGGTCACAACCATGAAAAATTTGGCAACGATAAAAGGTTTCTGAATATGCAACAACCAAAAATTAATTAAAAAATCAAACGTGCAATGAATCTGAGGTGTTTCTGGCAGCATTTGCCTGTGTTCCATCGCAATTTCACTTCAGCCTTGCTTCTTAACACACAGGGTGCACACTTTGCACTGTGCATACCCTCAGGCCACACAACACCAGTGAACACCACCAAAATGCGAAAAGGGGTCATGAATGGAAAAGGTTAAAAAGCCTCCCTCTCTGGGAACTCAGCTAAACTCTTCCTAAGCTAATCCTCTTCCCTTCCCTAGAGACTGAGGTGGTGCAGAGAGAGAAAGAAGGATTATGCCTCCCACATATTGGGGGGAGTGTGTTTTTATATTTTTGATGGTACCTTTGAAATTAAACGTGTTCCTTAGAAAAAGCTCCACTGTGTTATGTTATTTTATAGTCACATAGACTCTTTGAGATAGGTGCTGTTAATATCACCATTTTTGTTGTTGTTGTCATTTTTCAGTCATATCCAATTCATCATGACCTCATTTGGGGTTTTCTTGGCAAAGATACTGAAGTGGTTTGACATTTCTTTCTTCAGCTCATTTTACAGATGAGGAAATTGAGGTGAACAGGGTTAAATGACTTGCCCAGGGTCACATAACTAGGGAGTGTCTGAGGTCAGATTTGAACTCAGGAAGAGGAGTCTTCCTGACTCCAGGCTTGGTACCCTATGCACTTTGCTACCTAGCACAGTATAAGAAGATTGGAAAGGTAGGAAAGAGCTAAATTGGGAAGGACTTTAACTGCCAAAACAGAGCATTTTTTCTTTTTCCCTTCTGTTAATGCTCTGGCCACACAGTAACCAATCATTTGGATGTTTGCAAACATTTGCGTCACTAGCTAAATTATCCAGCTCCTTTGCAGATGTTCAGGATTCAGTCTCACAACAAACATTAAATAGTGCCTTAGTATCACAGTGCTTTGTTTAACAAATGCTTCTTTTCCTTTGCTTTTGTTTGTTTCTTTTGCTATTCTTAGGATCATAGATTTCTAGAACTGGAATGCTCTATAGAGATCATTCATCTTGCATATGAAGAAACTGAGGCAAAGTCAGTTTAAAGGACTTGCAGAAGCTCTGTTTGTGGTGGCTAAAAATTAAGATTCGCGGCATGCCCATCAATTGGGGAATGGTTTAACAAGTTGTGGTATATAATTTTAATGGAATATTATTGTGTTATAAGAAATGACAAGCAAGATAATTTCAAAGAAACTTGGAAAGATTTACATGAACTGATACAGAGTGAAGTGAGCAGAACCCAGAAAACATTGTATACAT